GAGGTTGGGCTTCCTTTGAGAAAAAGGAGTGGAAGCATCTTCAACGAGTTTCAGTCAAATTCTTCTTTAATTTTCTTCTTCTCCATTCACCCAATACAGACCTTACCTTATGGATAAAGGCAACCGAGTCTCAGCGTTAGGGGATTCTTGACCTATGAATCGGTGCAGATTTTGTACAAGCACATATCCCTTTTCCAGCTGGCCGCTGTCAGAGGTGTAAACCCTTGGGCATGTTTTAAAGAAGCATTTTAAAGCTCAGATGCTATTCATGTGGTCTGCGCACAGGACTGCGGTTAGAAACTCATTGCCTGCTGGAAACCCTGGATTACTGCTGTGGGCAGCGTGCTGAGGCTTTGCTGGGTGGGATGTCAGCAGACTTACCATGAGCACGTCACTTGTGAGCACTGCGGGGGAACTCTGCTTAATCTGCTCCTTATTTTGGTATTTTGCTGCTAAAAAGCAGCAGGTCTTTTTTTCTATTCCTCGTCTTCCTCTCTCCCACCTTTCTGAATGTGTTTACACGACTACTGCTTCTAAATATCTTGCCAGGCTATGCTGTCAGCTTAAGGCTGGCTTTATCATTTTTTGAAAGCCAGCCTTCAAACAGTTGCTAAACTGGGAGAGAGGCAAGTGAATAATAGTATTAATTATTGCAGTAGATTCTACCATGATTCCCTTTTGTGTAGCACATTGAAGCTATTGGTGGATTTAGAAATTGCTCATGTGGGCTTCATCTCTCCGTGACTCTCGGATCTGCTGTGGGTTATGTCCTCAGATGGACTTTTTGTTTGTTGGTTTATAGAAGAGGAGTGTCCCATCCTCACCCCCTCCATAGCGTGCTTGCACACACACACGGATGTGTGCAGATGCCAGCAGCCAGGACAACAGCTTTCTAATTTTCTCATTTCCAGCCTACTTAAATAGGCAGCACATAATGTTTTGGAGTAAGTAAATGAAGAATTTGCCTCCTTTTTCTTTGAGCCAAGATGAGCTTTCAAAGACAAATTGTAAAAACTTTCAGTGCTTCTGCTTTTCACTTCTTTAACAGTAGGAATGCTCCATCCGTGTCCCTGCTGTAACGCAGGAGGATAAGAAGTTAAGCAAATGCTGTCTTTGATAGACTTCTATTTCTGCCAAACACACAGATGTCTACACTACGCAGTGGTCGTAAGAAGCAGCCAGCCAGCCCTGATGGTAGAGCCTCCCCTATCAACGAAGACATCCGTTCCAGCGGCCGCAATTCCCCCAGCGCTGCCAGCACCTCCAGCAATGACAGCAAAGCAGACTCGGTGAAGAAGTCCACCAAGGTAGGGCTTCCCTGTTCTCCTTTTGTGCTAGGACTGGGCACCTGAGGCCCCTTCGTTCCACTGAACGAGATGGAGGTTCTGGCAAGTCAAGGAATCTCTTGGTGACCAAGAAATTCCTGTCTGTTTAGATATGCAAAAAATAAGGCGGCATCTGACTGGTGCTTTCTTCCTGGATGTAAGGATGGGTAGTGATAAAAGCCACTAAAGCATTTCCACATAATCATACTGCTCTTCCAGTAAACTAATCCTTAATTTTAGGTGTAAGTGCAAGCATTTGACTCGCGGAAGTGGTACAGATCAGAAATGCTACATCAAAGACAATTAAGAAGTTAGGAGGGTTTTTTTTAAAGCAGTACTTAATCTTCAGTTATAAAGTTATATTTGTAGTAATTGATATTACTTTTGTTACTGTTTTTCTGTATGCATATTTGCTTGATTTTTCAGAGTAATTTTACTATTTAGCCTGTTCTAATGAACAAGTGCTTTTCCAGGAGAATTCTGAATAGACAAGGCCAGACGGACAGCTTGTTGTTGAGCAGAATAAACTGAAAAGTAGGAGGTTTTAAAAAAAATACAGTATTTTAAAGTCAAAAAGTAGAACATGGGGCAAGTTGTCACAAGATGCTGAGAACTCAGCGACATTTAAAGTTAGGTTAGGTAATTACAGGATGTATAAAACTATGAGCTAATACAGGAGCTTCATAAAAGCTACTCCATGGTAGCCCTCTATTTGAGGGGATGGACCTCACAGAATATTAGGGGTAGACCTAATCAACCTTTGTAGTGAACCTTATGAACCTTTGTAGTGATGGCATGTGCTCCCTTTGCTCCTGCATTTACCTCACTGAGAACTGCTCTGTTTTGTTTGTGGCAGAAGATAAAAGAAGAGGTATCCTCTCCCCTCAAGAACTCCAAGAGGCAGCGGGAAAAAGCAGCTTCTGACACGGAAGAACCTGACAGATCCAATGCCAAAAAATCCAAAACTCAAGTGAGTCTCACAGCAAGGGGATATTTTCACTTTAGGGAAAGTGAGGAGAGTGGGAGAGGGTTGAAAACCCAGTAATGAACCAGAACCACAAACCTTATTTAAGCCATGGCAATTTGTAATTTAGTGTGTGGCTGGAAAACCAGCCCATTTCATAATGGGTTCCTTCTGAGGGAGACCAGTGGGATGACATGGGGTAAGACCGGGAGTGGTTTTTAGTTTTAATATCAGCAGGATGGGAGCATAGGTGGGCCTGCTCACGCTGCCTCCAGAGACACGTGGAGGTCTCCGAATTTAATTTCTGGAGGCCTTTCCAGGCCTGGTGTAGCGGGTTGCATCCCGCAGCGTGCCGGCCGCGTCCTGGGAGGCGTTTCCCCGTGCCCACACGTTTCTCCCTGTCCCTGCAGGAGATCAGCCGACCAAACTCTCCCTCCGAGGGCGAGGGCGAAGGCGAGAGCTCCGACAGCCGCAGCGTCAACGACGAGGGCAGCAGCGACCCCAAGGACATCGACCAGGACAACCGCAGCACCTCGCCCAGCATCCCCAGCCCTCAGGACAATGAGAGCGACTCGGATTCCTCGGCTCAGCAGCAGGTGCTGCAGGCGCAGCCGCCGGGGCTCCCCGCGGCGGGCGGCT